GTCGAGAGTGTGGCGTCATGTGACGCAGGGTCAGAGGATGGGGACGTGGCAGAAGAGGCACGGGGACTACAAGCTCCGCTGCAATTACTGCAAGCRTGTGTGGGAGGGCAATTTGTTCAAGGCGCAACGACACTTCACGCAGCTGAAGAGGTGCGCRGCGGCAACGATGGACGTGTTTGTGGACATTTGGAACCACACAGAGTACGAGTTCGATGACCGTCATCACCRCGGTATCATGGCGTACATGAGGGAGCATGATATCGCGGATAGACGAGMYGTGGACGTCCATCARGGCAGTGGCAGGGGCYGGACRGGTGGGACACAGTCACGRCCACAGGAGCGTGATGCTGTGGAGGAGGTGGAGGAGTTCCTTGCCGAGGAGGCGAGGCGAGCAGAGGCCCGGGGCGGTGAGGAGGGTGGAGGGGCAGGCCCGACACCCGATATGCCGGGAGAGGATGTGGTTATGACTGCGCGAGGAAAGATGCCGGTGGAGAGTGGAGTTGAGGGCGTGCCACAGGGGCGCAAGAGACAGCGGCAGTCGACCGCATTGGACACCAGACCTCCTGTCTTTAAGGGACGCGGGATTACTAAATACCTCGAGAAGTGGGAGCTTCATGCGTATCGTAATCAATGGACAGAGGATGAGATTATTGATAATCTATTATTCAACTCCGATCCGAGCCTAAGCCAGGAGATCAAGGAGGCGCGTCCGACTGACAGGAAATGGGCCACGTACAAGAAAAATTTGTACGAGCTCTACAAATTAGAGAACATTCGATACTCAATCAAAGACCTCGAATCGATGACTATAGAAAAGGACGAGAGTGTTCGAGCCTTCGGGAGGCGATTCCAGAAGGTGTCGGACGCTCTAATCAAGAGAAGCTTTCTGAGGTGGAGCGATGTACGATTTTCATTGAGCGACTACCAAAAGGAAAGCAGAAGGTGATACTTCGAAAACTTCCCCATGACGAACTAGAGTTCACGGTAGTACTCAAGCTGGCAATGAAGGCCGAGGCTGATGACTACAAGGATCTGGTCTGGAAGGGGTTAAAACAGAGGGATGTCCCCCTCTTTAGGGATTATGAAACTGATCGATGCCCAGACTTCTGTAACCAACCATGGGCGGATCGTCGGTTCCAGTTCGATGAGGATAGACTGCGCCATTCACGAGATAGAGAGTTAATGATGGCTGAGATGAGGGAAATAATGAGAGGGATAGCCAGAGAGATGATGGGTGCGGACACTAGGGCACCTGACTATCGCGACAAGCCTGGATTCCCGTATTCATTACGATGGGATCGCAGAAATTCCGATCCGTGGAGGATTGTAGGGGAAAGGAACCCCCGCACGCTCGCAGATTATCGAGCTCGTGAGAGGGCCGAGGATGATTCCTGGAGGAGGAGAGACGATGAGATCGATAGAGATCGTCGCACCGACCGATATTGCCAGGACGATGGGTATTACAGGGAAAGACGATTCGAGCAGTACCCACAGAGCCCTAGGTACGGCCGGAATCCTGATGGTTTCCGGAGCCCTGGGAACTTTACACACAGGGATGGAGGAGATTTCCGCGGACACTGGGAACCTGATCATGATCGGAGAGACGGATATCGTGGAGAATATGATAGGACGGACAGAGGAGTCGACAGACGTCCCGATTCCAGAAGGGACAGGCGTGATGATACTCGAGGGGACAGGAGTGATGATACTCGAGGGGGCCGGCGAGACGATTCCCTTGGACGATATGACCGAGGAGGATACCCTGCCTCGTAAGGGTATCCGAAATCACCCACTTATCCCTGATCTCCGGGACCATCCAACCAGGATGGCAGAGCAGCGAGAGGATCGCCGCCAAGAGCGGGAGAAGATAGACTTCCGACCCCAAGGAGCACTTGCATCTATTGCAAGGGGGATGACCATGTAAAGAGAGATTGCCCCGACCTCAAGCGGGCTATAGACGATGTGATCGTAGTGCTTGACGACCGAAAGTACGTCAAGTGGGCGGATGACCTAGGAGATGTCTCAATGTTTCCTTCGATGAAGGAAAACGTCGACGCCAGACGAGTACGCCCCAGCAAAGGGAAGAAAGTAGCGAGGAGTCGGAGCATCAGGATAGTGATGTCGTCGGACGAGGACGAGCCTACAACGCATATCCGAGTTGCGGCGACGAAATCCGCCAGACCATCATCATCAAAGAAGACGGACACCGATTATGTGATGGCAGAAAAGAATGGACAGAGGATTGATGGAGAGGAAGTAATGTTGTCACCACGGAAGCGCGGAGCTCGCAAGTTCACAATGAAGAGCTCATTGGATGATATTGATACAGTGGAGCCTATCAGACGCGCGCTTAGACAACCCATGCAGTGCTCGATACTCGAGTACTTGGCGGCTTCCTGACTTGCACGAGACGAGCTACAAATGATTACGAGGAAGACACGCATTCCTCTAGGGGATGAGGCACAGGTGGCACCGAAACTGGAGGCCCCAACTGTGGCAGTTTCGAGTGTGACCGCCAAGGCAGACCGTGCGGCGACGGTGTTCCTTGATGGTAAGGAAGGGGTACCTCCCGACAAGTTTGATATCCTAGGGAGCGGGACGGTCGAGGTCATTCTTAACGATGAGGAGACCCTTGAACGGGTGATCGACAATGGAAGTGAGGCTGTTATTATAGACGAGGGCCTCGCTGTACGGCTAGGGCTCGACTTAGACAGATCCTACCATTTCGAGATCGAGACTGCAGCAGGAAAGAAGCAGAAAGTCACCGGTGTTTGTCACAAGGCGGCGATAGAGGTCGAAGGATTGCGCGTTCGGATGCCAGTGTTTGTTGTCAAGGGCTGCAGTTCAGAGCTACTCTTAGGACGCACCTGGCTGAGTCACGTTCATGCTGTCACGATAGAGCGACCAGACGGGAGCCAGATGCTATTGATTAAATGGCCAGACGGTGGTCGGATTATAATAGAGACGGTCGAGCCTCGCGATCCAAGGAACAGAGCAACTTTAGCCGCCAAAGGAGAGCATGACAGGGTTGCCCTCGGTAGTCGTTCCTTCCAATTCCGTGAGAAGAAATACGGACCGCTACTGACCGAGGAAGAAAAGCGCATCGTCGAGATCGAGGACTTAGGCAGCCATATCCTCGTGAATGAGAACTCTTATCCGAAGGACGAAGATGAGGAATTCGGAGGGATGATCTTCGTGTCTTTTTTAAGGGACCAGCCCCCTACGGGGGGCGACCTAAGAGACACAAGACAGTAGCTCAGAAAGTCAAGCCTGCAGCGGTAGCTCGGGAGCGATCTGCACACGATGGGATATCAGAGGAAGAGATCGCTGGAGAGATCAAGGAAAGAAAGAAGAAGGACCCGCAGCGGTTGAGAGAAGAGAGGATAACACAGATGGACATAGGAGATGGGAACTTGACGGAGCAGGAGAAAGAGCGAGTACTGGAGGTTCTTAAGACGTGCGATAAGGCTATAGCCTTCAGTGACGCTGAGAGGGGCAGGATTGATCCTAGGTTCGCACAACCTGCCAGAATCTACACGGTCCCACATACCCCATGGAATGATGCCGGATGGAAATTTGCACAGAAAGAGAAGGAGGAAGTGATAGCCTTTCTGAAAAAGAAAATGACGCCTCATGTAGCTGAGCAATTCGACAGTGCATACGCGAACAGATGGTTTTTCATACGAAAACCGAATAGGAAGATTTGGTGGATTCAGGATCTCCAGAAAGTGAATGCGGTTACTATTAGAGATGTCGGATCTATACCTCACACAGATCTACTACCAGAAGGCGCCGCTGGTAGATCGATTTATTCGGTCTGTGACCTATTTTCAGGTTATGACGAGATACCATTGGACCCCACGGATAGGCATCTCACGGCAATGCACATGTCACTCGGACTAGTCCAGATGATGGTGGTGCCTATGGGGTGGACCAACGGAGTCGCAATGTTCCAGAGAGCCATAGTGGCTGTCTTGAAAGACTTTATACCGGATAAAGTTGAAGTCTTTCTAGACGACTTCCCAATTAAGGGACCAGTACTAAGAGATAAGACCGAGGTTGCGCATGGGGTGAGGACATTCGTAGAGCAGCACTTGACAGACATCTGTGCTATACTTGAGCAGTTGGAAGAGGCGAACCTAACGGTCAGTGGAACAAAGAGCAGATGGGCGGTATCGTCGATCAAAATATTGGGCTTTATTTGTGATTCGAGAGAACGACGAGCCGATCCGACCAAGCTGGACAAGCTCTTAAATTGGCCGACGCCGCTGCATAATGCAACGGAGGTCCGCCAATTCTTAGAAGTTGTGGGGTACTGGCGGATCTTTATCCGAGCATACGCAGAAAAGGCGGAGCCACTACGGATTCTCCTTAGGAAAACGACAAAATTTTACTGGGATTCCTCTCAGGAACTCGCGGTCTTAACACTTAAAAGAAGAATTCAAGGAGGGCAGCTGAATCTTGGGGGTACCATTCTTCAACGATGAGACCAATAGGCCATTCATAGTATCTACGGATGCTGAGCCATGCTCAGTCGGAGGACTACTCTCCCAGAAGGATACTGATGGGAAGGAAAGACCGTTGAGATTTGACAGTCGTACGCTCAACACTGCGGAGCGCAACTACAGTCAATTTAAGAAAGAGGTATTGGCAGTCTTACGATGCCTGGACACGTTTAGGCATTACATTTATGGACGACGATTCATCCTACGGGTAGATCCTACTGCGGTAGCATCAGTCCTACAGAAGGACTTCACCTTGATCGATCCCACGATCGCCAGATGGATGATCAGGATACGACTCTACGACTACACTGTCGAGAGGATCTCGGGTGCAAAGAACGTTGTAGCTGACAGACTTTCACGCATCCCGATTGAGGCCGAATGCCCGATAGCAGTGACATTATTAACAATTACTGAACCCAGACGCACCGATCAGTTCCTAGTGAATCTTTATGAAGGGAAATACCGTGCGATCGGGTTGCGACTGTCTGGTGAGGAGAGTCCAGATTCAGAGCCCCGGAGACAAGCAGCCCAGTACTGCTTGAGGGTCGGACATTTGTTTTGCAGACCCATAGGATCAGGGATGTCTCTGAGAGTAGTTTGCGATCCAGAGGAGAGGCAGGAGATAGTACCAGAGCTTCACGACGGGGTAGTCGGTGGATATAGAGGAGTGAAAGGAATGTACGAGAAAGTCTGTAGGTTATACTGGTGGGAAGGACAATACAAGGATGTCGAAAAGTACTGCGTGACCTGTGAAGATTTTCTGAAGAGGTCCCTTATCAGATACAAGGAACCCTTGCATCCGTCCTACCCTACTAGACCGGGCGAAAAGGTACACATTGATCTAGTGAAGATGCCGCGAGGCGTTGGGAATATGAACTATGTAGTAAACATTAGAGATGACTTCTCTGGATTTGTCGACGGGAAACCCATGAGAACGAAGGCAGCCAACGAAGTTAACAACTTTGTTCTAGAATACCTATCAAGGTACGGGTGTGTTAGTAGGATCATGATGGACCGAGGAGCAGAGTTCTTGGCGGATGAGGTACAGAGCGTATTCAAGAAAGCAGGAGCTAGAGTCTCGATAGCTACTGCCTATCATCCTCAGTCCAATGCGCCCGTAGAGCGAGGACATCAGTCGCTGATAGCGTCGCTCGCTAAGTGGTGTAGAGGGAAAGAAAGCCACTGGCCGAAATACTTTCGATATAGGATATGGGCAGACAATGTCACCGTGCGAGCGAGTATGGGGTACCCACCATATACTCTATGGTTTGATAGGCACTGCCCTCTACCTATAGAGTTCCACGTAGACAGTTAAACTACGGTTGATTGGACTATTAATATGACACGAAAAGAACTTCTAGCGGCTAGGACTAGACAGGTAGCATGCGGATTGGAGGATGAGGTCATGATTGTCGCCAATCGACTAGCGCTTCAGCGAGAGAAAGGCAAAGAGAAATGGGACAAAGACGTCAAGATAAGGAAAGAAAAGATAAAAGTCAGTGATCTGGTGCTTCTGTATGACGCCGCGTTAGAAAGAACTTGGACAGGGAAACTAGCTAACGGATGGATGGGTCCCTACCGAGTAGTCAAGGCATTGACCTGGGGAGCTTCCATGATTGCTGAGCTAGATGGATGTAGATGGAAGGACCCCGTGGCGGGGGCTAGATTGAAGTTGTTCAGGACCAAGGGAAACCTCTACTCCTACCCTAAGACTATCCGACCCGAGAGGGAAAGGCAAGGCAAAGGTAACAGATGAAAGAGTACTCAGACGGTACGAGGTAGGTGAGAGCTCAAAGAAGAGAAAGAGAGTGGAAACCAAGAAAGTCAAGGGCCAGACACTAGGAAAGAAGAAGAAATGGTTGTTCGTGTTACGGAGACCGAAGCGTCGAGTCCGGGTAAGACGAGGAGAAACACCTACGGGATGGCTACCCGACGAGGGAAGAGAACAGGAAAAGCAGTTAAGCCTAAGCCCAAGTGGCCCCGACAAAAGAAGGGAGGGAGACATCCCCTTAGTCCGAGGGGTCCAGAAAAACCAAAGCGCAAGACAGAGAGACACCGGCATGGGCCGCGCGCGAGTGTGATTATCTTAGATCTTGTACGTTTCATCTGATGGAAATTGCGGGCTCGACGGGGGCGTCGAGAGGAGGTCCGGGCTTGTTTGTCGGGCGACCGAACCCCAGTTGGTCATCCTAAATTTGTCGGATTCACCTCTAGATTAAATGGTTAAATGAGAATAGACTAGGACTCTCGCCTGACGCGCCGGTGGGATTAGGGGTAGAGAAGGGAACCCTAAATTTCTCCATGGCGTCCGACAGGAGTAACCCTTGAAAACGGCTAAATGGGATGCTGGTCTCGGCATGTCTAGGAGTCGAAAGTTTCTGTCTGTTCTGAGGCTAAAACCAAAATGCTCGGGCAGAGAGAGTCATCACGGGAACTGACCCCGCCGCAATATCTTTGCAGGGTATGGCCGGGGTCGAAATGGCGCCCCGAATCCTTATCAATTTTGGTACATGAATTAAAAATGGAAGAAAAGATTTAAAAACGTTAGGAGGGATGAGAAAAACGAAATATTTCTTGAATTCCATAGTTTTCGCAGCATTTAAATTTTGGGAAAGATACCTCGTTAATTTACGTTTCCGGGAACGAAATCAAAAACGAAGAAAAGAGACTAAAAATGATAAAGGTAAAGATAAACAAAGTATTTCAATTATTCAATCAAAAACCCCTCGGAGATTAATTTTTGTGGACTTACAATTATTTCACTGATTTAGACAAAAGAATTAAGAAGACCGTAGAATGATTAAAGACGATAAAACGAACGAAAACAAATGATTATTCGAGCCCGTCCTAGTTATGCTTGGATTATCCACCGTCGGCTTTAAACCCAGATTAATCGATTTTCTCTGGATCCTTACCCTTT